TGAGGAAGGGTACTGCTGTCCCCGGAGAGTCTCCACTGATGGTAAGTTTATCACAGATGTGAGGAAGGGTACTGCTGTCCCCGGAGAGTCTCCACTGATGGTAAGTTTATCACACAGATGTGAGGAAGGGTACTGCTGTCCCCGGAGAGTCTCCACTGATGGTAAGTTCACCACAGAGATCTGAGGAAGGGTACTGCTGTCCTTGGTAAATACCAGATAAGCGATTCAGTTGCATTGGGCCTCTTATATAATTGAGTTTGTCAAATTTGGACATTGATGGAATTCTTTTGCTGTTTGTGACAGGTGTATGTCCAGGTGATGCCCGACCAGAACTGATGGATGGAGTGGTAAGGAGATGTCTCAAGACCAACAGGTGTGGCGGAGGATACAACTGTCAAAATGGCCACTGTTGTCCTGCCAGGGTCTTTACAGGTAAATCTCAAGTTTATGTTCTTCTGATGCAAAATATGAGTTTTGATTTCATAGGAAATCTTACACTGATGTAGAAATACAGAGATAGATAGAAATGCAAAAAAATAGAAATCCAGAAACTATTGAAAATATAGAAATAAATACAGAAACAGATAAAAAAGCAGAGACAGAAATACCAGAAAACTGTCAAATTTTGTTATAAATTTGATAATTGACATCACCCAATAACATTCCTAGTAAGAATATGGATTCAATCCTATCTTTCTCATTGTTCATCTATTCTAACGTTACTGCGCTCATTTTTGCCAGGTACCCACATTTGTTGTTTCTTAATCAACATTTCTTTGTTCTGGTAAAAATGGTTTCTGTAATGTCAGATATTTAAATATTTACATCCATTATCGTGACTCTGACACCTTCAGTACAATCTATTGTATATAAAGTGCAGCGTCCTTGTCCATTCCCAGGTGTTTGTGCCAACGGTGGAAATGCATCCATGTATGATGGTAAACTGGTCATGTGTTCGTTGGAGAATCCATGTAACCAATCAGGATATACATGTAATAGAGCTGGTTACTGTTGTCCAACCAGAGTGTACCAAGGTAAGACACACAGGTTTTGTTTATCGACAATGATGATGTTATATGTATCAACAACAGTTACCAACATACCAGCACTACTTACCCTCAGTTATTTTACCATTTCTTTCTTTTTCTGTTGTCATGCTTCGTCCGTTTACATTTTACATGGAATTGAAATTCAATTTAAGTGATTTCATCGATAAATTGTAATGTTATTGACATCATCTTGACAAAGTGTTGTTATTTTTCAGGGTGATTCAGAAATCCAATATTGCCACCACAGGCTCCATTTTGAAAACCTTTTTCAGTTTTATAAACTCCAGTTCTGATTAGCGGATTCAAAGTATTCTTATTAGTGAAAGCTAATGGCTCTTAACTTTTTACAGACGTTCCTGAGAAAGACCCACTTAAGTGCTTTTACTTTTTAGGCTCATTCATCTTTCAAGATGGCCGCCCAGGGCTCTGACTTGACGAGATATTTTCAATTTCTTTTAAGAACTGTTATAGCTTATTGACTCTGATCTATCATTTTCTTGATTACTAAGATAGCTTAGTAATCTTGCCTCTGTCTGCTGTCCCAAATGGCCACCCAAAACAAAGATGTTAGCCAGCCAACCATATACTGAAAACTCCCAATTAATGTGGAGTAGGCATTTTCACTGGCAACTCCACATTATACAACCTTACTGTTTATAATAATTTCATATACACACAGTTTTTCTACAGCTACGTTTATGTAACATTACATACCCTTTGTGCCAAACATATTTAAAACCCTGCGACAAACTCCCATCAACTGCAACATTAAAAACATTCTCATTTGACCATTTATAGGCCCCTACAGGCCTCTTTATTTTTATCGAGAAAGGCAGATGAATATTTTTCTTAAAACATTTGCAATAGATAAATTAGACCAGTATTAACCTTTAAGAAAACCTTTTACATGTTATTGTCCTAATGGTGAAGATTAAAATTTTGAAGAAATGAAGCTGATCAGTAGAGGAACACTGTTATGTTGACTGTTTTGGTACAGACTATTGTCCTAATGGTGGGAAGCCAGCATACCATGATGGTCGTCCCCAAACCTGTCATGCTAACAAACCATGTAATGGAGGGCTGTACAACTGTGACGGTGGCTACTGTTGTCCTCAGAAAGTTGTCTTTAATGGTGAGTAAAGGCGATAATTGGATTTGATTTTAAAATGTAAGAAGAAACAATGATGTGTTACAGAAATGATGTTGTTACAGATACAATAAAGCCAGTTTACTGGTGATGAAAGGAATATAGAAAAAAAGAACAGGTGACCTCTTGTTATTTGATCTGTGCTATAATCATCTTATTCCTGACTAGGTTTCTGTCCCTATGGGGGTATTGCTGAGAAGATGGACAAGAAAGACCGCGTGTGTGACAGCAGTGTTACCAATGGTGGGTGTGGTCAAACCTTTAACTGTACGAACACAGTCTGCTGCCCACGTATTATCCAGGATCACAGTAAGTCTTCAACAAAACATCACTTGTTAATGTTCTCAAATTTATACAATTCATTAATTATTTGTTAACCTAAAAAACGTGATATTTCCCTCATCCGAGGGGAATCACCTTTTGAGGGTTAACAAGTATTAATGTTAAACTAAAATAGTCAATACATGTGTGACGCTATCAAAGATTGAAGGTAATATATTCCGTTAATCAGACATCTGGGTATTTCCATCTGCCTTTGTTTACTGCCCAACAATCAACACTTTTGCTTTCTTATTGGCCAAGATATGATTAACCCATGACATTTCCTGCAGTAATTTTAGTCACGGTAACCAGATTGTATTGTAATTTCTAACTTGGAGTTTGGAGCTGCACGTCAACATAGCTTTTTGTAAAAACTTTTGAACATTGTTTCAGCCATTTACAGCACTTATTTGAAATAGCTAGTGTGTCTTCCTTTTCATCCTCAGTACACAGTAATGTCCCTTCAGTACTTCCACAACATATTGTAATGTCATCTTATAAAACGTCCTTCCTTGTAACCTCACTATGTGATATCCAAACAGGAATATGAATATAAGAGATTTGAATAAAAACTGTTGTATTCCCATTTCCTCACTCCCTCTTCCCACCTTATGTATTCCCATTTCCTCACTCCCACTTTCCACTTTCTCTATTCCCATTTCCTCGCTCCCTCTTCCCACCTTATGTATTCCCATTTCCTCACTCTCTCTTCCCACTTTCTCTAAATTTTTCTACTCTTCTAAACTATCAGAAACAAAATTTTTTTATTTATTAGCATGGCTTTGTATTTCAGTGTCCTACTGTCCGTTCGGTGGAATGGTGGAGACGAAGGCTGGACAGCCCAGAACATGTATTGCGAGCCTCCAGGACCCTCAGTGTCAGCCAAAATCACACAGCTGTGTGGAGGGATACTGCTGCCCTAAGAAGGTCAACCTTCGAGGTCAGTTTCTTTATGTAATTCATACATACATTGGGGTTCTGTTTCCAAAGAATATGTCTACCTGTTAGTTCTGCATACCATAACTTTGATGTTGTTACACACGAAGAGATAAGTAACAGCCTAGTACCTGGGTTTCACCAGTACAGAATCGATTCTTAACAGGTAGATGTAAATGACCATCAAATTGATGATGTAAATCCCTTACATAGACACAATTAAACAAAGAACATATATCAGTAGGTCTTTTCACAATTCAAATCATTGCAAGTTCATCAAATGATTTACAGACTTTAGATCATGGAATTATATTTCAACAGACATAATCTATTTTCTTGCATATTTTATGGCGCATGGATGAGATGTGCTGGACTTTGTCAATGCAAAGTTTTTCAATGTTCTATAAAGGAGAATATTAAGTTATTAATATGTTATTAATATTTCGATTGGTTGGCAAGTTTCTGCATCCACATCTGCCTTGAACACATCAAAAGACACATGATTTGATTAAGTGACAAATCACATTGACAAGAGGTGTACCTGTTTCGTAAAGGATTTAACTTCAAACAATACATTGCACAGCAAACTGGAATATTGTTGATTTTAAATTTTATTGATATATAAGTGATACGCGAAATATCAGAGACGGGTGTGCAGCATAATTTAACCCCTGGGAATATGCTCTGTTAACAAAAATGTGAAATATTGACCCCACAAATTTAAAATGCTATACAGTAAGTAACATATAGTAAAGATATAGAAAATGATGCTAGACCACTGGCTTATTTTTAATATTTACATCTCTCCCTTCTTCAGCTTAGTAAACTCTGACTGCGTATAAATTAGCGTATACGCAATGAAAAAAGGCTCGGCGGATTGATATCTGTTTCAAATATGGTGCCGTTCACGCTTCAGCGCGATAGCTGTTCGATGACAGCCATTGTGTGGTTCCTTCAACATCTAGAAACATGGAACATGTTTTGTATCCACTATGTCTGATGATACAACAAAGGGATGCTGGCTAACTTCTTATTCCATGCATGCACATTCAAAATTCTCTGACGGTGAAGCAAACAATGGTGACTTCCTTTTGCGACGTTCGACGGCATCACTACCAGAACAGTGTGTCAATGCGTGTACATAACGACTGTTATTAATGAAAAATATATTCGAAGTGCTGCTAATATTACTTAATTAAAAATTTACAAGCGATGAAAAGAAGAAAAATAGTGTTATTCACTGCGTATTTTCTAAATTTACCAATATATCGATGTACATTCACTGGAACTATATTATCCTAGCAACCACGGCTACAGTAGTTACCATCGTAGCAAATTTTGTTTGTATAGCTTTTGGACATTATTTATGATGTACTTTAAGGATTGACCTTCATATTGACGGCATATACGGTAGTATGAACGCAGTCTGCAATGAACATATTCTTTATGGAGGGCGTATACGGTAGCATGAGCGCAGTTGGCAACGAACATATTCTTTAAGGAGCGCAAACGCGCACCATAGAATATGTTCATTGCCGACTGCGTTCATACTACCGTATACGCCGTCAAAATGCAGGTCAATCCTTTAATAATGTAAACGCTAGAGGGCACAAAGACTGATGATATTTGTAGATCAGTGAAGTAACCAACTTTTTAACGATGTTAATTTAGCGCTCCTATCTTCTTTCCCAGAAAAATGATTGGGGTTCACTTATAGAAGCAGGTGTGCTTATTGGGTTGAATACAGTAATAATACAAATGATGTCTTGATGTCCGTCCCATCCCGTCCTGATTCATTGCCATTAACTCCACCAAATTCATGTCTTATTTTTATCAAAGTTTATATAAAGAATACCTCATGAGTGTGTATTTCAGGGTTCATAGGTCAATGCCAAGGTCCTTTGCTAGTTATAGGTCAACCACAAGGCAGAGGAGACATTCATGTCTAACAGCATTTTAAGTTTTATGAACATGATAATAAATTGTAAGGTATGCGGGTAAACAAATTTAATTAGTTTACTTCCAGAATATTTGTTTAAATATACTGTATAGCGGTTATATTTCGCAGGGTTTTTAATTTTGCCCATTTGACTTATATCCGCAAATTCTAAACACCAGCAAAATCATCGAAAATGTTAACCACTTTTACGGACTTAATCACAGCGTGTTGACAATACTTATAACCCAACGCTGTTATGCAAGCTTAAATGAACTCAAATCAGATTATCACCGGACAACTGGGCCGTCTATGTAAAATCAACACTTACATGTAATTGGCCACAACATATTTATGTGTACACAGAAGGTTATTAATTGATTACAGTTTACTCGTACAAAGGTACATACACATTTGATTTTTTTTTCGAGTGAAGTCACTGGCAGATGACGACGCTCGGGATCGTTGCTTTCAAACAGTTTACCTGTATTTCGAGGTTTAACCCTTAAACAATGACACTCAAAATACTTTGCACGACACATGGGATTCGGGTGCAAAGTGTAATTTAACCCCTGCAAATATGTACTGTATACAAAAGCGCCAAGTATTGACCCCGCGAACTTAAAGCACTATACAGTACTATTAGTTTGTTGTTCAACTGTTGTCCATGTGATTGAATTTCTCTGAAAAATGGGACAGGTATCATATAATCTCACCTGTTTTGATGGGTGTATTATCTATAGGGTGAAAGGTGCTGGATTACTACACAGATCCACTCAGCGTCAGTGTTGTAATCACCATGTATACCTAACATGCTAATTTAAAACTTACCACCAGACGTCCTATTAAGTTTTATGATGCACACTGCTCCTAGTTATGATCTATAAAATTGTCAGTGTAGGAATACAAATACATGTTGTAAACAATGGGAGCATGAATTTTCAAATTTGGGAATGAATTTTCTCAAATAAGGATGTTGGCAAACATCTATTTGCTGATAGAGCAATACATTTTCTTCCACAATATATAATAGTAGAATGCATATGATAAGCAGTTTATCAAATAGGGGGATAATCTATAATTATCATCTATATACTTTTTTATACCACCTACCGGTAGCATGATAAATTCATTATCATTGGCTGTCAGCATAAGAAGTTGAGAACGACTATGAGAACAACTTGGGAACGGATTTTCTCAAAAATGAACGTGCTAGATGACGTCCCAAAAAACGGAAATAGTGTCCACACAAAAGTGATCCGCGTAAGAAATAGTCCGTCATAAACATATCAATACAGAGTTACAGAAAAATATTGTGAGAATAACAACACCATTTCAGGTGTAAATGTGCATATGGAAGAGCCGATGACAATAGGATGGTTTTAAAAATATTTTGTTTACGTATTTTTAAGGTTCATTGTATCCCTTAGCACAAAGGTTGGAGAAAAATGGAGCGGTGGCCTCTCAATTTTATCCACGTGCGAGCGATGAGAAAATTGTTCTCACGACAAACCCTAAAAATACAGTGTGATAATCTTTAATTATCAAGCACAAAAAATCTGGTAATCTATAATTATCAAGTGCAGAAAACATGATAATCTGTAATCATCAAGCAATGTGATCATGTATAATTCTGTTGGAGAGACCATCAAGACGTATTAGTTCCCAGGAATATTTTGTTTCTCTACAATTTTCAGCTCATACTTAGTTCTTACAGATAACAAAAGGAATACTGCATACCAGTGTCATGCATAAACTGTAACCCCTCCTACCAAAATGTAACACACACAACCAACCCCCACCCCCTTTCCACAAAATATCTTAAATTGAAATATTCTATATCTAAAGTTGTTGACTTTTGAATAGGAGCCAGGGGAACATCATCTTCAGGTGTACCCACCCTACTGCAATAACGTCCCATGTTGGTAGCCCCTCCCCCCTTTTAGGGAGGTGCATTATGGTAAGGGCAGAAAAGGGGGTTACATATAGGTTCCCCAACGAGTGATGATTGGTTATCATGTTTATTTAACTCGAGTTCGTTAATCTTCAAATTGTATAAAGACGAGAGGTTTACCGAGTTTCTTTTACAACTTGAAAATTAACTAACGATTGAGAGTTAGATAAACATGATAACTAATCATCACGAGTTGGGGGACCTGTTTCTCCTAAAACGTTCGTATTCTATCTGAAAAAAAAGCATTATTACATGTCGTCATGAATCAAAGATTGACCAATGAAATCACGTCCAGGGTGTTACCTACTAGTGCGTAACCAAAAATGTTTACCATGTTTACTCCTAGCAGGTTCCTACAGTGGTTGTGGGAGAAATTATGGTATTTAGTACACCGCATGATAACTTTTAGGAAGGCTATTGGATAACTATCCCCGTCCTATTTGGTATACCATATTTGCTGTAATTAATAGCCAGGGTGCTTAAAAAAATAATTTAAATGGGGGTGCTCGTTAGGATAATAAAATGTGACTTGTGATAAAACAAGTTTTGCAACTTAAACTGTTGCTACAGAAGGACATTATAAACATTCCAGTGAGGCTTAATTGTTCAAAAGATATCTTGTTGGTCAACCTGAGCTAATTGTGTTGGTTTATGAATATGGGATAGTGGCACTTGGAAATATACTCATCATTTGTTTTAAGATTTTTAAAGAGCTGATATTATGGTAAAAACATTTCAATTACGGTATCTATGTTGTGAGGTAATTATGTATTGTATATTTGAAGTGTGGATGGGTGAATGTAAGACAGCTATTGTGTTGGGTGGCTTTGGCCTATTTGGTTTAGATATTGTACGTTGCTGATTGGTGAATTTAAGACATCAATGTTGTCAGATAGCTACTGTACCTTTCCTTGATATTATTGACAAATTTAGGGATGCTTTTTTATTGATTCTTTTCTTTATTTTAAACGTGTAATATAGATTTGTGTCATAATATTTCTGTTACATGATTATGAGACAATGACTTGATGATTTGTCCCTGTGAACATATTTGGGAGATATACTAAGGTAGGGAAGGGACTAAGATGTTGTTGGCTATCAATCATGTTACAAA